AGACAGACTTTCTTGCTATTCTAGCAGCTACTGGGGAATTCCTGAAAACTGGGACAGCAGACCCACCGATCTGATGGGGCGGCTGGCTAAGCGCCACCAGGCCATAGAGGAGTCTATGGACACTGCCCGGCGTCTGAGGGCCTGGGGGAGGCAGCCGCAGAAATCAAAACCACAGATCTATTAGAAAAGTTCAAATGGGAAGCCGACTCTATTTGTCTCGCCTTCCAGCTGTCACCCTGCTGGCAGGTACTGAGGCGTTCGCTCCATCAGACCCTGAATCTCTTTTGCTTTGTGTGCGGAGGTCTGCAATCCCTGCTCCTCCCCCGGTTCTCACCTCGCCGTGCTGCCCACCAGATACCTCCCACACATCCCTGCCAAGACAAATTCATGTGCTTCAGATACTCCCACTCCAAGTTTTCTTCACATTTTACAAAGCAAACAGTCCTAGCGAGACTGGCAGGGGGAAGGGGAAGGGGGAGAAAAATCCAGTAACATCACAGAACAGGCTTAATAAAGGATTTTTGCATTTGAGGGTTCCCTGTAATTTTTGCATCAGGCATCATCATTCTTCATCGGGAAGGTAAGTGACGAAAAGGAGGGCCCTTCCAGAGCCACGTCCCCCAGCGGACTGCCAGCCCTGTGTCACAGAGGCAGCTCCCAGAACAGCAAAACCAGACGCGGACACAAAGCTCTAAAGAGGACTGTGGTGGGCACAGCCCACTGGCCATCCCCTTCCCTCAAACAGCTTAACAGCTTGGCTACAGAAGCTAAAAAGCCCAAGCTTGCTTTCCTTGTCTCCCCTGAAGCTGGGGATTAGCCACATGACCTAACTGGGGCCAAGAGAACATCAGTGGAATTTTTGGGGGGATTTGCAGGAAAGTCCTTGCTTTCCAGATAATAAAAGAAACACTTGCTCACATGGCCCCTTCTGTTTCTTTCTCTTGAATGGAAATGTGATGTCTGGAGCTGCAGCAGCCATCTTGCGACCATGAGGTGACAGGCAGGAAGGAAGGGCCGAGAGAACCACCGAGATGCCAATTCAGAGCCCGATTCTGGTTCAGTCCCAGCAACTTGGGCCTTCTTATGTGGGAAAAGTCCACCCCCATTTGTTTAAGCCACCATTAACTCAGGTTTTCAGCTACTTGCAGCAGAAAGTATTACTAACTGATCCTTCTCTCTATAGCAGGACCTCCTCCCTGATTCAACACTATTTCTATCATACCAGGTTATAAAGTAGATGCCTTATGTCATTTGATCTTGGAAGTTTCAACCCCATTTATCCAAGGGCCTATTATTGGCACATCTCTATGCAACAGCCTCACGGCCACTGCATACTCAAAAGGGTCAGGAATATGTCCCTTTTAGGGCTCCCTATGGCAATCAGCAGCTTAATCATCCACTTAGTGTCTAAGTCAGGGTACTTAATAACACCATCCCCCTACACACTCTCATCCAATAGATCTCAAGTGCTACAAATTTCACCATCTGCGTATTTTCCTAACCTGCCCATCTCTCCCCACTCCTCCCACCTCGTCGAAGGTACGCACACCCGGATTACTCCAATAGCCTCTTAACTCGTCTTTGCATCCACACTTGCTCTTTCCACAGTGAATTTATAAAAACACAAATCTGGGGCACCTGGGTGGCTCCATTGGTTAGGCGACTGCCTTCAGCTCAGGTCATGATCTGGGGGTCCCGGGATCAAGTCCCGCATCGGGCTCTCTGCTCAGCTGGGAGCCTGGTTCTCCCTCTTCCACTCTCCCTGCTTGTGAACTCTCTCTCTCAAATAAATAAATAAATAAATAAATAAATAAATAAATAAATAAAATCTTAAAAACAAAAACAAAAAACACAAATCTGACTGTGTCATCCCCTCTCTTGGAGTCCTTCCATGGCTTCCCATGCCCCCCATGATAAAGTCCAGATTCCTTAAGACCTAAAAGGCCTTGCCTGATCTGGCCACCCCAACCTCCAGCTTCTCCAGCCCTACTGAATCTCTCCTCTTGGCTCTCTGTTTCAGTTGTATTGCCATTCTTTCAGCTTCTCAAAATCACCATATACATTTCTATTTTGGGGCCACCACACACGACAGCCCCTAGACGAAGGTGCTCCCCTCCAACTTTATGGCCTTCCTCAACCCTTCTCATCACTTTGCAGCCCAAACAGTGATTTTCTATTTCAGATATTGTAGTTTCTGTTCTAGATTTCCAGTTCTTCTTCTTCTTTTTTTTAAATAGTTTCCTTCTCTCTTCTGAGATTCACCATCTGTTCACTCATCATGACCATTTTTTCCTTTAAGTCCCAGACCATTTATAGAACTGATGTCTCTGGCTTTACCTCCTAATTCTAACATCTGGGTCATCTCAGGATCTGGTTCTACTGGGCTCAAGGGCTGCCCCCTCTCCCTTATCTTCTCTTGATTACCGGCCACAATTTCCCAATTTTTCGCAAGTCTAGTACTTCTTTTATTGTATGTGGGGCATATGCATAAAAACCAACCATGTAGAGTCTGGATGATGTCGTCTCCCTTTAAAAGTGCTACGTTTGGTTCCGAAAGTTCCTTTCAAAACCGTCGGGTTTATTTTTACTTTTTATTAAGCTGAGTGAGTATTTTGATTTTGTCTTTGGTCCTCAGGTGTCATCCACACTTCTAACATATGGCCTTTTGGGGGTCTCAACTGTATACTTCTGGCTGGGCCCTAACTCCAAGATCTCTGAGCACTCTGCAGTCCTCTGGAATCTGATCTCCTCTCAGTCTCTTTATGATCATGCTCTGTTAGGCCTTCTGGAGTCTTGCTTTTGTGCCTGTGCAGCCCTCGGCCGAGGACCTGCAGTGAATGTAGATTTCTGCTCACCCCACCACTGCCACACCACTCTCTCTTCTCTTGATTTTCAGGGCAAACCAAGTGCTGACCTCCAAAGACAGCTTTTTCAATAAATCTGCACAGGAGTTCAGCAGGAACCAGGGGAATCACCATGGTAACTAACAATTTCTGCTGAACAGCTGAAATTTCACAGCTGACAATTTAAAGAATAATGTCCCTCAGTTAGGTTATAACATCTCCAACTGGAGGCAGAGGTCAAAAAAAAAAAAAGAAGAAAGAAAGAAAGAGCTAATGACATGGCCTTTCCCACAATGCCTATTACAGAGTCATCTGGGGGTGACCTGGCTTCCCCCACAACCAGTAATGCAATGGACCCCAACTGTCAGCAGACTGGGGCTCCCACTGCCTGGGATGTTACCGGGAACAGTGTCTTCAGCTTCATTTTTCTCAATCAGTCTCTCAACGCGACCGTGTGCTTCAAGGGAGCAAGGCACTGTGGTAACAAGTTCCAAATCCATATGCTCTCCTCTGCTACATTCTGAGGAAGCTATCATGGGAAAAGTGCCTCACTGAAGACCTGTCTTTTGAGTGAGAAAACTGGAGGTCATATACCCATATGGCACTGGTATTGTGAGCTGCTGTGCGGTGGTTCTAATTCAGCCAAGTTTTGTTGTGATCAGTGGTTATTTATAACTTTGTGCTTTCTTGGCATATAAGAAGTACAGTGTTGGATCGGACCCAAAGTCCATTTTCAGCAGACTACTGTCTCTCCGACAGAGCACCCCAGGGGCTACTACGGCTGGGTTTAACTATCCTTACGGTGACTGCTGTGGGGGGAGAACTACCGCGGGGGGAGAACTACCCCCGCAGTCACTGGCCTTTCAAGATGTCCTTATCCTCTCATGTCCTGTTTATGTCCACTCCCAAGTGAAAAACTATGGGGCTCATCAAACTGCCATGGGAAGTGTCCCTGGTTGGCTCTAGCCACGTCCCTCAATTTCATACCCCGAAACTTGGTAAGCCCGGAGGACATTTGGCAGAGAGTGGTTCTGGCATATCCAGGAGGCATTCTGCTGCTCAGGCTATTGGTGATTTAATAAGCAAGCCCCCTCTTTCAACGGCTGGCTTTGCCTTCAATCCCTGAACACAGAAAGAGCCAGAAGCTACCTTAAGAACCACTTGGTCCCACCCTCTCCTTTTACTGATGAGAAAACTGAGCCTCCTGACTCATCCCAGTTTACACTATTAATCGGGACACAAGAATTAGAATCAGAGCTTTGGATCCTGGTTTAGTTCCTTTTCACTCTGGTCTTCCTCCATGGAGACAGACCAACCTGTCACTCCTTCTATTCTATTTATTTTATTTTTTATTTATTTGACAGACAGAGATCACAAGTAGGCAGAGACACAGGCAGAGAGCGAGAGAGAGAGGAAGCAGGCTCCCTGCTGAGCAGAGAGCCCGATGCGGAGCTTGATCCCAGGACCCCGAGATCATGACCCAGTCTTTAACCCACTGAGCCACCCAGGTGCTCCATATTTTATTTTATTTTTTAATAAGATTTTATTTATTTGTTTATTTAAGATAGAGCACGCACACAAGTGGGGGGGCACTGGGAGAGGGAGAAGCAGACTCCCCACTGAGCAAGGAGGCCGATGCGGGGCTCGATCTCAGAACCCTGAGATCATGACCTGAGCTAAAGGCAGAGGCTTAACAGACTGAGCCACCGAGGTGCCCCTCTTCACTCCTTTTAGATGGCCTTCTCTGGACCCTCTGAAATGTCCTACTCTCTTGCTGGAGGTTTTCCTAGTACTATACAGAGGAAGATATATTTTTCCTTCCTAGCTTTATTGCTGATATAACTGCAAATAAAACTGAACGTTGTTTGGCCTCTATGGCAGCACAATCATTGAGTGTGTTGGAAGGTCAGCAAGCAATGTCCAACAATGACCCCCAGGTGCCATTCTTGACTTATCTCTAAAACACCCAAACCCATCACCCTCGCCGTGAGTGACCCTGAGGCTCACGTGCTCCCAGTCTACACACCCGTGGCTCCAAGAGCCCTTCGTAGAGTTTAATACCAACAGTGAGGCTCACCAATACCCAGAAGACCTTGGTGTTGCCTCCTAGCACAGACAGCATTACTGGGGAGGGGGGACCACCAGGCGGACACTCACCTTTGCATAAGCAGTTGTCTTAATAAACCACTGTCGGAGGTACTTCTGCTCCACCTTTGCTCCAGAACGCCATGAACAGCCGTGTTCATCCACCTGCTCGTTCGCAAGCACCGTTTGGTCCACCGGGTCCCAGTTAACCAAGGCCTGTTAAAGTTCATAGAACAAAACGATGCCGTCTGGTGAGCGTACGGAATAGGGTCACCTTGAGGCTCCTTGCATGTGTGCGAGTCAGCAAGAGCAGGATCTCTGCCCTGAGACTTGAGGGCATCTCCTTGGGAGGACCACTGGGCAAGGAAACCACCAGCGCGTTGTTGAACAACAACAAAAAAACAGAATACAAGAACTACCTCCACGTTTTCACCTTCGAGCAGGATTGGGAGGGAGCCTGTGAGCACATGCCTAAATAAGTTTGGTATCTTCTGGTGTGAGAGGATGAACCTGCAGGATTAGGGATTTTAGTAAATAGAGGAAAAGAAAAAAAATGGTACCTGAAACTTAGCAGAATCAGGTTATTTTAGGGAAAACAAATATATTTATTTGAATATAAATAGCTAACATGTATCGAGTGATTACCACACACCAGATGCTGTGCTAAGGTTGGCCCTTCTGAAGAGGTAAGAATATTATATTATTACTATTACTTGTAGCAAGAATTACTATCAGACTTACTCCTGGGGCCAGAGAGCCTTGTGGTGTTAGCAAAAGACTTGCCCCTCATGTAGCACGCTACCCACGCTTGTGAGTTCATCGGCCAGACAGTGGAGGTAAGAATATTACTACCCCAATGTTAGATGGGGAAGTTGAGAAATAGAGAGATTAGATAACTTGTCTAAGGTCACAGAGTCAGGAAGTGAGAGTATGGGCAGGAACTCAGGTCTTTCGAAACTATAAAAATTTTTGCCACTTGTAAAAACTGCTGTTTTTGTTTTGTTTTTTAAGATTGACTGATTGATTTGAGAGAGAGAGAGAGAGTGCATGAGTGTGGGGGTGGGGAGGCAGAGGATTCTGCAGAGGCAAGATCCCAAGCAGACTCCCAGTTGAGCGTGGAGCCCGACACGGGGCTCGATCTCACCACCGCAAGATCACTGAGTGTGTTGAAAGGTCAGCAAATCAAGAGTCGGAAGCTTAATCGACTGAGCCACCCAGGAGCCCCTAAAAACTCCTTTTAAATTAAGGTAGAACATACAGAGAGTAACGTGGATCAATCAGAAGTGTACGACTGAACGAGTTTTTATCACTGCTCATTATCAAGGTATGGAACATTCCCAGCATCCCAGAAAATTCTGTTGCGACTTCTCTCAAATCAGTATCTGCCCCCGAAAGGCAGCAATATTCTGAAATCTACCCCCATGGATGCGTCCGACTGACTGAACCATAATGGTCTTAACCATCATGAAGCTTCTGTGCAGAATTCTCATTCATTTCTGTTGTCACTGAAAAAAGTAGGTTTGCTGTTGATGTTCATTCTATGACATTAAGGTAAAACTTAGAACAAAGGTGTCAATGAATACAAATGAATACAATGAATCCAAAGAAGATATGTCCAGGCACTGAAATATTCTAACTTGATACTCGCTATTTCTAGAAGAATTTTTAAAATAAGGGGCGCCTGGGTGGCTCAGTCAGTTGAGTGGCCGAATCTTTATTTCAGCTCACGTCCTTATCTTGGGGTCATGGGATCAAGCCCCAGGTTGGGCTCTGTGCTCAGCGGGGAGTCTGCTTGAAGATTCTCTCTCTCCCTCTGCCCCTCCCCCCATGTGCCCCTCCAAATCCTCTTTCCACCCTGGTCTGCACCTCAGGAAGCTGATCTCTACACCTGCGCTCACCGGGCCACCTGCCCTACTCCTGCACTCAACGGTGAGAGGCACCTTGGCATCCTCCCGGTCAGGTGGTGTCTGGTGGTCCCAAAGGCAACGCAGCCTCTATCACACAGGCCTCTGCTTCCACTTCTCCCAGTTCCAACAATGGTTCCTTCAGACTAGGCTGGCAAAGGCCTCCCTCTGTGGCCAGCGCCAGGTGCCTGACCACTGCTTGTGGGTTTCCCTAAGCTCTGTACAGAACCAGTCTTTTCATTACATTTTCTTCAGTAACTGCTTTCGGGTGTGTTCTTTATTTCCTGCCGAGACCATGACTGATCTAGAGACACATCTAAAAACTAGGAGTGGAAGACAGACTAACCCATCTGTGGGTTAGTTTTACTACTAAAACCTAGTGTAGCCACTGAAAAACGGAAGCCTGCAAAGCACAGAGGCGGGGCAGGGGGTGGGCGAGGTCTGCACTGAATGATCTTTTCCCTCTTGTTCCACAGTCCCTGAAAACCTTGAATCCATAAATACAGAGAGACAAAATCTAAGACAAATGTATCCTAGATGTGGGGCACCTGGGTGGCTTGGTGGGTTGGGCAGCTGCCTTCAGCTCTGGTCATGATCCCAGGGTTCTGGGATTGAGTCCCACATCGAACTCCTTGCTCAGCAGGGAGCCTGCTTCTCCCTCTCCCTCTGCTTGTGCTCCCCCTGCTTGAGTTCGCTCTCTTTCTCTAGCTCTAATCTCTCTCCAAATCTAAAAACGTGACTCACTTCTCTACTATCACTGCCTGGATTAGGGGTTACAGGGAGGGGTACCACTTCAAATGAAAAGATAAGGGGGTCTAGGTGGCTCAGCTGGTTGAGTGTTGACTCTTGGTTTAGGCTCAGGTCATGATCTCAGGATAGGGCTTTGAACTCAGCGGGGAGTGTGTGTGAGAACTCTCTCTCTCCCTCTGCCCCTCCCCCACTCATTATTTTCCCCTCTCTCTTAAATAGATAAATCTTAAAAAAATAAAATAGGCGCGCCTGGGTTAAGTGGGTTAAGCCTCTGCCTTCGGCTCAGGTCATGGTCTCAGGGTCCTGGGATGGAGTCCTGCATCGGACTCTCCGCTCAGCAGGGAGCCCGCTTCCCCTCTCTTTCTGCCAGCCTCTCTGCCTGCTTGTGATCTCTCTCTCTCTGTGTCAAATAAATAAATAAAATCTTAAAAAAAAAAAAAAGGAAAGAAAGAAAGAATAAAAGAGAAAATGAAAGGGCCAAGTATTATTTAGTAACACTGACAGGTCTTTCAAGAGCCCCCATCCCCCCAAAAAAGATGTACAACTAAAACTGTATAAAATAGAGGAGAAAGAAAGAAAGGAAGGAAGGAAGGAAGAAGGAAAGAAAGAAAGAAAGACAGACGGACGGACGACAGACAGACCTTTGAGGATATGGGAGAAACAAACAGCACTGCAGATTACAAAAACAAATAGGACTTTATTTTCTTATCAACATTTCCAGCACAGCCTGGCATCTCGCAGGCTCCAGGTTACAAAATACAATGAGGGAGCTGTACTCCAAAGAGGTTTATACGTTATAATAAAATCCTGGCATTGAACGAAAGACAAATAAAAGCAAAACACAAAACCAATTTTGCACCCCCCACCCCCACCGAAAGTCTTGGTGGGGGAGAGAAAAAGACCAAAGGAAATAGCATCTCAAATCAAAGATGCATCAGCTGGGAGAAACCACTGGCTTTTCTTCCCAGGACTACAATCCAGCCCATCCCCAGACCTGCTGGGTTCAGGTGCAGCCTCTCTGCAGGGGGTTAATCCAGGGGGTGTGCCAAATACAGGGCCACTGAGGTTCTGGCTATGTAGCATGTGCAGCCTCGTGAGGCCTCCAGGACCTGCTTCCCAAATCCCTTTTCTCAGGTCTCCATTCTTATGAAAGTCTACCATGCAACCTCCCTGGAAACCAGGGTCTTCTCTTATCCGGCGTTCCTGGATTTTTACGTCTTGAACACTGACTTTGACAGACACCCTGACTACTACTCAAGCACAGTCTTGCTACATTTAATATTGTTTCTGGACAACGTCACTGACTAAGGTCACGTCTTTTCCTTTCCTGATTGACCTTTGTTTGCCAACACCTACTAGAGCCACCTCCGGGCTCCCTTACAGTAAACTAGGCTCATTGGTAACACAACCTGTGTCGGTATTTCAAAACCAACCTTAAATCACTGATTAAATCGATCCATGAAACCATGAAAACACCTGCAAACACACAGAACTCCGTGAGGTTCTGCCCACTGCTTCACTCACATAAGTTATCTGGCAACATCACAGAAGGAGCTGTTCCAAATAAGAGAATTTCTCCAGTGGATCAAGGGTTAAATACCAACATCTGTATTTTTTGTTTGTTTGAGTGATTCGTGGGACGCTTTCAGAAAGCCTTTCAGAAATGCGCCCCGTGACACACTCCTAAACCTCAATCAGCCATGGCCACGAGGTGGGTGTCCCATCATTTCTGCCCCCTCCCCGCTTCCCTTCTTGGATTGTAGGTTCTCAGAGGTGTGGGCGATTACGGGCACCACTGGGGATTCTCAGGGTGTTTTCTTCTCGAATTCTCACTTATCAATTCTCTCTGTGACACAGCAGCTGTGTGGCACCAACTGGCCCAGTGAGCCTCCTGTTCCAGACCTCCTGCTTCATCTCAACCTCCCCTTTCATGTGCGTCCTCCTTCCCCTTCCTTCATATAGGGCACCGGTCCCTTCTAGATCACTCCTTCCATTGCCATGCTTTCATCTCCTGGCCAAAGCCTCCCTCCTCAGGCCTCGGGCTACTCTCCATCATTTTCCTTGCTGCTATCTCCTCAGGCTCTCCTACAATTTCCCAAGTATTCTGTGAGGCAGCTGCGGGTTCCAGAAGGATGCTTTAGGGTACTGATTTTCTCAAGGTCCACTAGCTAGTTTCCCGACAAAACCATGCCTCATTAAGGAACACCACAAAGACCTTATTAAAAAAATCAAACTCTCAAAATCCATCTTGCTCCCTTCCACCCTGGATGGGCCTGAGTTTAGACTTGAGTCCGAAGGGGAGGGTTTCCAAGGCGACCGGTTATTTACTGCTACTGCCTTCCGTCGCCACCAGGGGGCAGAGCGGGAGAGGCTGCGGGTGTGCGCACCCTGTGTGGTCCCTGCCCGCTCCCTGCTCCCGGATGCTGCAAACCTGGCTCACTGGGGTGAGTGCATTAGCTCCGTCCCCAGCTGTCTCTGAAATCCTGCAGGAGCCCAAAGGCAAACTCACAGATTGGGTGGCTTCCACAATTCCCAATGCTCAAGCATAACACGGCACCCTCC